TTCTCTATTACACTAACCAGAGAAAGGCAGAATAGCTAACAAGAAAGAGATCCTTCAAACCAGATCACTAGCCATGCTCAGCCTTATGACTTACAGTTGCTATGTAAGACTATCAGATAACCAACTATATTGTTTATTTTATTTCCAACTAATGTGTAATGGTTCCAGGAATTATTACATCTTATGAAAATCAAAGTATTTACTGCTTCATATAAACGCAAGCCACTACTTTATTTCCTTACTCTCAGATTTATGCATTTCAGGGTTTGTACCTTTTTAAAAGGTATTTTCAACAATATGTATCCAGGTGCAAAAAAGCAACTCCCACGTATTCTCTTATGTTAACTAACTTATTTATTAGATTTATAAGTTACCCTTCCCAATACTAGCTTAAGTAGCTAACAACAAGAGACAAAATAATTTATAAAAGTAGGTGGAATCTTAAAAAAGATATGAAACTAAAACTCCCTAAACAGGGTCCCAGTTTAGTTTTGCTTGTTAAACATCTGCCCAAGTAGGAGTATCTTATTGCACTTCACATGCTGTCTAAACTTGGCAGGCCTCAAGCGAGAGCTGAGCAGCAACTACTGACTACATGTCATTGCAATGACCTGCTACCAAGTGAACTTGGTGTACTGATGGTACTTGCCAAAGGTTGCTCTTGGTTGAGCTTAGGGATCATGGTAGGGCATAAAGGAGAAGGCAGTCTCTTAGATGTATGAAGCCTAGACCATTTAGGATTTTAAATAATCCAATAATAATCCCAAATTGTCCCCTATTGGGACTGCTTCCAGAATAATTTAGTATTCACTCATTGGGGATTAGGCTAGCAGAATATAGTGTCTTTAGTGCAAATTGTATCCCAAGGCAGACCTGGGTTGAAGTTTTAATGCTGTCAGAGGTGATAATCATCTGCCCTACTGACAATCAAACTCTGATGTCTTTTTCCCTTATAAAGGGGATCCATCATTCTTTGGGGGTCTCCATGTGGATTATTTTCTATTGCAGTCACTAACCTACAGAACCAGCACAGTCGGAAAGCTAGAATCAGTGTCTCTCAGAACAGACTTTTTGATTACTGAATTAACATTAGATGTCATGGAAAGCAAGAGACATGAACATGCAATGAGCCTCCAAACTAGTCCAAAAGTTCTATTAAATGGGACCGTTTATTTTACAAAAAATGGGACTGCTAGTCCATTATCCTTCTCCCAGACCTTTTAAAAAATGTAAATGTATTTTCTTTGGCAGAATCTGAGCTTTAGGCTGTAGATCAAACAGGTTCAAACATTCTTGGCAATTTATTTTGATTGATTTTTTTTATATTCCCATCAACAACTACTTGCATTATATTTCAATGTGGTCTGGCCAGGAGCCCTGACATATAGTCAAAAATCTGTAGTATTGTTTAACCAGAATAAAGAGATGTATGTTTTCATCTTGAGGCATGGGGTAGCCCTTGCAAGCTGATGTAGGTGTTTCCATTTCACTCTTTTGGAAATTTCAAACACTAAGCATTTAACTGCTATTAACTCCATTGTTTTTTTCCTTATCTCTGAGTAACAGTGGGCACGTCTAGACGTTCATTAATGCACTTCAGTTACTGCACATTTAGTTTACTACTTGCTTAATGAAGTACTAACTAAATGCACAGTAACTAGAGCTAATGCACAGTAGCACCAGCGCATGGTTATTTTGTGACACTTACTGCGCGTTAGCCTAATAACACTGTGCAGTAGGCTATTATCGATTTTTAAACAACATGCTACTGTGCAGTGTTATTAAGCTAATGTGTAGTAAGTGTCTGATGTAAATGCACCCACTAAGTTTGTGCCTTTCCTGCAAATAGCTATACTTTAACCATCATCCTGCTCTGTAACATGCCAGCATAAAGCAGGGAACAGGGTGAAAAATGAGGACTACATTCGTTTACTTCAGCTGTTATTGGTACTTCTGACTGACTTTGTCTATGCTGAAGCTACATCCCCATTACTGTAGTCCTGGTAGAATACAGCTTGTGTGAGCCTTGGTACAGACTAGCTGCTTTGCCTTTAGTCTGTCATCTAGATCTTTTGTTTGGTCAAATGACATACAGAAACAATGCAGGTAATACTGGTGATTTTGATACTACTAGCACTGGAAGTAGTAGTGCTTCCAGTTCTGAACTGGTTCCCAATCAGTGAAAATAGGGAATGGTTCAGTTGTCTGCACCTGTTGTTACTAGCATAGAAGTAATAGTGTAACGCTGGAACATTTCCACTAAAACCTGTGCGTAGAAACTGTTACTGAGAACTTCTACTTTGCTTTACCTCCCTTACCCCTTTCCTACCCTGTTATCTGGCCTTGGAAACGAGCAGGAGGCCCATGTTCAGGCAACTCCCCAAGGCTTCTATCTTGCTGCCCACAAACTCAGCTAACATTATATTTCTTTTTTTTTTAAAGAGTAAGTCTTTAGCTGTTATGTTGATAAAGGAAACCTCAAAAATGTGAACTGAGCACAACCTGTGCAGAGATGAGTCTGCAGAGAGCCTGCAATAACAGCTCAAAGAGGTGCAAATTTCTCCTTCATCTGAATGAGTTGTGAATATTTATTCAGTCAGGGTGATCTAAATATCAACATGAAGCATTTCTCTCCTTGTAGCAGAAAGGAGACATAGGGTCACAAAACCACCTAGTTTTCTATGAGTGATGTCTCTTTTTGATGACACAAGTGAGTGACCCTTGAAAGCTATCTCCACCAGTCTCTCAACCTCTCTATTACAGAGTCAAGTCCATGGAGAGCTTGTGGTCATCCTCATGCCTTACAGAAGTAGAGCTAATAGCACCATCAAGTCCCCCATGCCCCAGCAATGTAATGATGGAAGGGTGAATAAACTGTGGAGCTTTTTGATCCAGAGTTAATTGCTCCCAGGCGCATGTTCAAACAGCACACCCAGGAACAATTAACTCTGGAGCAATAAGCTCCTTTGTTTATTCAGGTGCCGTAATTACATGTGTAGATGTGCCCAGTAAAAGTATTTGTAAGAGTCAAACTAGTGAAATATGAAGCCAGGTGCCCACTCCTTCCTGAATATTTTCTGAAATAGGCAACGCTTTTCTAACTTAGTGCGTATGTGCCCTATTTCCAAGCTCTTCCTTTGCCATAGTCATCCTGGTGTACATCTGAGTGTAGATGTTAAAGCTTCACTCACAAAATGGAATATCCTTTTTGTTCTTCACCCCCTACTCTTTGCTATCACTCATCTTTTCTCATGATTACTTGCTGTATCAACAAAAAGGAGGAATTTTTTTCATTTTGCAGAACCAAGCAGAAATTCTAATTAGTCATGCACTGAACATTTGCAGTCATTCACTCCCAGACAATAGCTGGATACAAACTCAACTCAACACGGAATATTAAGGACAGCGACATTACTTCGGTAAGTATACAGGCCAGCAAGCTGACTAAAGAAGCTAGCAATAGCTCTGTGGGGAGTTGGATAGGAAAAAAATAGATTTGCTGCAAATCACAGTTTTGATTGATTGATTGATGTACAATATGAATGGTGCTTGAGTTGTACATTTTGTTCTGTTGGAAAATTTTAACAATCATCTTTATTTTAGTTAAATCAACCTTAATAGCTGAGACATTCTGGGGTGGTCTGGGACTTCACTGTCTGGTTCATTTCTAGTTATACTTAACAGGCGACCAGTAAAAAACTGTATAATAATAACTTTCCAAGAATCTCCTCTAGCCTGGACACTGATTAATTGTGAGACAGAGACTTTACTGGGTCTTCTTTCAAGAACATTTTCATGCTCATGCTAAGAAGCACTGCACTGGAGATTAGTTTTTAGCTAGGGACAGATTTTGGATTTTGATTGACTATAAGCCACTGGAAATTATGTGGGGATTGTAAAGGTGGGAACAACATTGCCACCACCAATAATACCGAAGTCTCATGTAACACCTTTTGTCATTAGTTCTCATAGCACTTCTAAAAGGAGGTCTGTGTCATTTTCCCTATCTTACAGATGGGGAAACAAAGGCATGGAGCATTTAATTTACTTTCCTGTGGTCACCCAGAAGGCCAGTTACTAAACCAGGAATAAAACTCAGCCTTAGTGCTGATCCACTAGGTCTCTCTGCCATTTCAGTCAGGGATGGGTAGCAGTGTTTAGTGGAGAGAGGTCTAGTGAGCGGCCCTGTCGCTTGGTTACCCAGAGTCAAAGGTCAAAAGAGGGAAGGAGGTTAGGGAAGGGGATAAACAGCAGGATGATGGACTGAGAGAAAAATGAAACCACCAAAATTGGAGGAAGAGCCTAGAGAGGGAACCCCAGCCTCTCCCAATGGCCGGCTGTATGAAGAAACAAAAGAGAGATTGGCTCCAAGAGATGAGAGTTGGGAAAAGTATGTGAGGGGATTATACACAATTGTTAATAGCAGAACGAGCTACAAGATTCTGGAGCAACACCCCCTCCCTCCTGCCGCCATGCAGTAGTGATTCTCAGTTTTATGCATCTTGCTCATTTTAGTCCCTATTCTCTGGTTACCTGTGACAGTATGTTCCTCACACACCTGTAAGTGCTTAACATTTCAGCAAGATTTACAAAAAGAAGCTTTTCTCTTCTTTGTTTGATCAAATATTAATATATACAGCTTAATTGCAAAGGTTAGGATTCTAACCTGTTCTTTAAAACCTCCAATGATGGATATTTTGTCAACTCCCTATCTGGCTAGTTCCACTGCTTAACTATCCTTATTTAGGAAAGGTTTTTCCTAATGTCTAGCCTAAATCCCTTTTGTTGCAAAGTAAGCATGTTCTTCTTTTCCCACTGTCGCAGAGCACTGAGGTGCCCTGCTCCTAGAGAGGGGAAACTTCCGGGGAAAGAGCCCTGGCGGGGAATAAGGAGCACAGCTGTGGGTTGCCCAGGGCAACCAGGAGGTCAGCTGACCGGAAGGGGCAGGGCCTGGCCCTCATAAAGCCCAGGGGCTGAGGCCAGGCTAGCAGTTCCCTGCTAGCAGCTGGACAGAGAGGAGCTTCTGGAGCTAAGATGCGAGAACCGCAGGTACTCCTCAAGCAGAGTAAAGGATGGCAGCTCTAAGAGGTCTGAGCAACGTTGTTATAGCCAGGTGGCTTATGGTTAAGTTGTAGCCGAGAGGCTTGAGTTTGTGTTTTGCTTTGTTGTTACACCAGTGGTTTGGGTGAGGCTATTAGGGGTTGGAGGAGGCCTCATAGGGACCCACAGTGGTGTGGGGGCCCCAGCGTCAGTAAGGGCGTGGTGTACGGGGTGCATAGACCTCAGCCCCAGAGAGGGGGCACAACTGAGAAGCCCCCGTGCAGGCGTGGCGAGCCCCAGAGAGGGGGCACTACTGAGAAGCCCCAGTGCGGGCATGGTGAGCCCCTGAGGAAGGGCATAGCACTGCGGTAAACCTCAGAGACAGGTGTAGCATTGCGGTAAACCCCGGAGAGAGGGGGTAGTAGTGCAGTGAGTCCCGGAGAGGGGGGGTAGCAGTGCGGTGGGCCCGAGAGACAGGCAGCTTGAATGAGAAGTCCCGGAGTGGGCATAGAAGGCCCCAGGAGAGGGGCGGCTTTACAGAGAAGGCCCAGAGTGGGCATGGAGAGCCCCAGGAGGGGGCGGCAGTACTTAAGAAGGCCCCGGAGAAAGGACAGCAGTACAGAGAAGGCCCGGAGAGGAGGGGCATGAGAGTAGACCGAGAGACCGAACAACGTCTAGTCCAACTGCGAGGCTTGGGGGGGGGTGTAGGGGCTGGCTGGAGCCACGCATAGCCCATAAGGCTAGGGTGCCCGGGAAGCACCCATCATACAGTGAGACCCACGGAGAGTCTGGGAAACCACGGGGACGGAGGTCCCAACAAACCATGTCCAAGAGGGCGTAAGGCAACTTCCCAAACTTATGTAAACATCAAAGACGTGGTGGGCGAGAATCGGAGGGTGCCCTTGGACCGGCTTGGCATGGGGGAAGGGGCCTTAAGGAGATCACGGCCCTCCTGGAGGACCCCCGCCCATGACACCCACCTTCAGTGGACAGGAGAACAACTGATCGCTGTCTTCTTTATAATAATATTTAACAGAGGTGAAGAGTTATCTGCCTTCTCTTTGTTAGATTAAACAAAATAATTTCCTTCAACCTTTACACATCTTTCAAAGTGTGAAGTCCCAAATTCAACAGACGTCAACAGGGCTGTGCAGAGTAGTATAAGTATGTGTCATCTTCCATACAACATTACTGTGAATAACTACTGAAATAACCTTCACCTTTTTCATGACAGCATTACATCAGTCAACAGATTGTGCTTGGTTTTATGGCCCTGTAAAGTCCTGGATCTTTTTGTGCAGTGCTTCTGCCTAGCCAGTCATTCCCTATTTTATATTTGTGCATTCGATTTTTACTTCCTAGGCACAGAAACATAAACTTGTTTTTAGAATACAATCTTGTTGATTTTCTATAATTTCTCAAATCTACTGAAATTGTAAGAAAATTCATTCAGCTTGTGTCATCTTCAAATTGTATAATGATACTTGGTATTCTATCATTCAAGTTGCTGACAAAAATATTGAATATTTTTTTAAATATTGAGAATTGGACCCAGAACGCACCCCCTGTAGGGGATCAAGACTCCACTTGATATTTCCTGCCAGGATGAGAGAACTGTTGAAAACTCCTCTTTGAGTATGGCTCTTCAACTTCCTGTGCACTCAGCATATATTAACTTATCCCATTGCATATTTCTTCAGTTCACTTTTAAGAATGTCATGTGGGACTGTCAACTTATGGAAGTCAAGCTACAATGTACATATTGTTTCCTCCCTCAACTAGGTTAGTTACCTTGTCTAAGACAAAAACTGGACTGACTTCACATGATTGGTGGCTGGTTTTTATCACTTTATTATCTTCCAACCCGTTAAAAATGGATAGTTTCATAACATATTGAAATACCTTTCCAAGTATAGAAGTAGGACTGTTTGGTCCATAATTCCTCAGGTCCTCCTTTCCTTTCTTTTTAAGGATAATATGCTACTATGTTTGCCCTTCTCCAGTCCATGAAAATTAATGGATTGAATCCCAGTTTATACTAGCCAAGAATCTGTCCTATAATCTTTCTTAATGACAACAAGTTGCCCTTAAGCCTAAAGGCATGATTCTGATTACCTCTCTGCTTATTTTTAAGCTAATGTAAATCTGTTCATGTCATTGTTACCTGCATGGAAAGGATACCTAGGTGCAGATTTGGGGTTTCAAAGGCTTTGTAAATTGCAGAACAGATGTGAGCCAAATAGGTCTGCATTTCCTTTCTTCCTGTTCTTTTCCCAGCATAACTCAGGATAATTTATAGTGGCCCAGAAGTTTTAAACATAATTGTGGCCAGTCAGCTATTCAAAATCTGTCAATGTAATACTAAGGATGAATAATTAGACATTAAAAAAAGCCAGGAAGCACAGAAGCTCAGCACTTCTGAAAAGTAGTGACTTTAACTCAGGTACGTTAGACACCTTCTATTTCTCTAAGTTACATATTATGACATGAACCACATAGCATGCCTTGAACCAGAAAAATCAGAATAGAAAAGCATGCTATTGCTGAGCTAAAACTGCTTAATTTGGGTATTTTTTGACTTCGTGTGGGTTTTAATTATGTGACCTTTCTTATACATTTAGGGTGAGATCCTATTTAGTTTACATGCCTAAATAGTGGGAGAGATCCAGTGACATCCCCTGCTTCCCAGCACAGTGACCCTTAAATCTGGTTCCCTTGGCAGCTGAAAAAGAGAGCAATGTGGGACCGGGAGGAAGAGAGCAAATCAGAGGGTATATAGGTAAGCAAGTTGCCTGCTGCTATTGGTAGGAGGGTCTCTTGGGTCAGGGTTGCCAACTGTCAGTAAATTTACTGTCAGTAAAAAATCATGCTAAAATTGGCTGTCAATAAAGACTGTAAAAAAATTTAGCTGCCATAAAAACACTAAGCAGCCAGAGCCTGATTGGAGGTCTGACAGAGCAAAGAAGCATGACCAGGTGTCCAAGCAAGAATACAGCACCTTGCGGGGAGTGTTTTCTCTGTAATGTGCTGTTGCAACTAAGATGCCCACCCAAGCCTACCTTTCTTTCTACTGCACCACCGCAGTAGATGCTGGTGTCTGGGTGCACACATGTCCACTCCCAGGGGGAATGGAAAGAACTGGTGTATGAGGTGCAAGGCGAGTTGTGTTCCTCAACTGAGAGAACGTTTTCCATGTGAAACAAGAGGCATTGAGGGTCCTATCTGTAGAGACCCACTTAAATTGTGATTTTTGCAGTTTTCATGGAAACCATGAAAAATGGTGGTTTCTGCAAACACCACAAAAATGGTAGTTTCTACAATTTTGCACAGAATCACTGGGGAAAAAAACCCTTACTAAAAATAAAATGCTGCTTCCCCAGTGGGAACCAACATCTGCTGCAGCCCAGCCTTTCAGTCCGCCCAGCAGGGGGAAACTGCCAGCATGAAGGGAAACAGCCAATATAGCAGCTACCTTCTCCCTCCACCACTGATTGGTCAAGAGGGTTGCCTTTTGTGCAGCCCTACCCCTCTCCACCAGTGAACGGTGGGGCCACATGAAGGGCAGTGATTTCAGCCAATCAGTGGCAAGTGAGGCTGCTAGAGTCCCTTGGCCAATCAGCAGTGGGGGGGGGGGAAGGGGCTCACCATGAAAAGATCACAAAAATGGTGGCCTGCACCATGGTCAGTCCACAAAATCACTCATCTGCCACCTCGATTTGGGTAGGTCCCTCCCTATCTGTACCTGAAGATCACCTTCAGGCAGTTCTAGCCCCAGAATTGGCCTTCCTTCAATCTACACCCTAGCTTGAGGCCCACAGCAAACCATCTCATTGTTCAGGATCTTTCTGTGCAGGTGGGTTCTCCCTCCTTCTGGGCATGGTTTTAGTCACAGGCACTAGAGACAGGAATTGGTGTGAAGAAGGGCTAGAAGTCAGGAACAGGGGCTTGTGAGAGAGGTGCTGGAGGGCTTTCTGGGCATCAGGTTTGGGGTGCTCAGGTGGGTTCTAGCACAAAGCTGGAAGGAACAAGCAATTGGAAGAGGGATTTGGCTTCAGATCTGAGAGTCCAGGAGAGCTCTTAGAATAAGACTGGGATCCTCATCACACTGAGACTGTGTTTACAGACATTTAAAAAATCCCACACACTTTACCAGAACAAGCCGTGAATTGGTTGGACCTGACTCCACAGCATCTGTATAGATCAGGTGCTTCAGCAGGGCTTTTTGGTGCCTTTCTCTAATAGCTGATTCAATCAATTCTGATTGAATTGAATTTGATCTACTTCAATCAGCTATTAGATAAAAGCGTCAAAGAGCCCCACTAAAGCACCCAATCAATACAGACTACGGGCAAACGGGGTCCAATTAATGTGATGACTCTTTGCTGGGCTCAGCATGGGAGTGCACCAAGTTTATATTAAAGAGCCATTGTGTTGGGTTTTTTTAAATATCTGTAAGCAGCCTGAATGTCATTAAAAGTGGTCCTACCCAGCAGTTTAGACAGAGCTACAGTTAATTCCACTCTTGCCCTGAGGTAAAGTAGAAGTAACTTGTCTGAAGCAGAAGTGACTTGTCTGATGGGATCTGATTAGAGGAGAATCAGTCAGACCCCACATGTTTTTATTCTCAAAGAACTTGAAAGTTGTCCTCTTGGTTTTTCTTACTCCTTGTTCTCCTTTTTCACAACCCAGAATCTCCCTGTCAGACTCTGACATGGATTGTCTAGACCACCTGCAGATACTTTATATATCCCAAGTCCAGGGAACTTACAAAACTGCTTTACTTGTTTGGATTGTTCAGTCTTTTTCAGCCAGTAGGGAGACAAAAATGGCCCCAAGTTTAAAACCATAGCTTCTGCATTCGCTTCTCTGGGAGATGGAAGCGGGCCCCCCCCACTAATGGGGCTGGGGGGGGCAGGGCAGGAGCTGGGGCTGGGCCAGGAGAGCTACACAGCTCATGGGGGAGGCCAGGGGAGAGGGGCAGACTGGGGGGCACCAAGCCAGGCTGAGAGAGCTGTGCCCCACCTGGCAGGTAGGGGCAGTCAGAGCTGGGCCGGGCCAGGAGTGCCACCTAACAATGCACCTTTGTGGGTGGAAGCACTGGGAGGGCCTTAGGGCCTATAGCTCCCCAAAATTCATCTTAGCCCCACTGCAACCACACCCCCCCCCCCCCCCCCCCCCCCACAGCCCCCCTGCAACCCCCCCCCCCCCCCCACCCCATGCTGCCACCTACCTCCAGAGACTTGGCGCAGGGCTCGTGGCCTGGCTCAGCCTGACCTGGCCCACTGCATCTGTGTGGCCATACAGGACAGCCAGGCAGCAGCTCCCTGCAGGTAAGTGTAACAGGGGCCAGACTGAGCAACAGACAGCTCGCAGCAGGGACATGGAGGAGGACTGCCTCCATGTGATCGAGAGTGGGGAAGCAGGGAGGTCTGTCTGTCTGTCTGTCTGTCTGTCTGTGCGTGCTTGTGTGTGTCTGTTCATGGCAGGGAGAGCATGTTTGTGTCTGTGTCCATGTGCAGAGAGTGAGAGTAGAGTGTGTGCCTGTGTCTGTGCATGTCTCTGTGTGTGCATATATGTGTGTGCGTGTGTTCGGCCGTAGCAGGGACGGGTAGCAGGGAGAAGAGGTGGGCATGTGCCCCCTCCAGGCCGGCAGGGTCCACCTAGCCTCTCATGCCAGCAATAAAAGGGCCCCTTGCCCTGCCTTGCAGCTCAGCTTCCATAGGGGGAAGGGGTCTCCAATGTTGTGTTTGCCAGTACACCTTAATCCGTCTCTGTATCCTGCAGGCAATTCTTGATATTCCAAGACCTGGAGGGATTACCACGCTTGAGTACTTAATTTTAGGATGCTTTGAGAATGCTTCTCTTGAATTCTACTGATTTAGGTAGGATCTTGCATAATCATTTGGTTTATTTTTTTTAAATAGTTAATGATGAAGCCTCTCTACCAAAGTGACACCTGTTCTTCACGGAACACACTCTGTGGCATGTTGTTTCCACTCAAAGATGCAGTAGTCTCATCCTAGTATTTATTGGTAAGCTCCATCTTTCTTAACATTTTATCTTTTTGAGAAGATAGTATGCTAAACTGGATCAACCAATTTCTCTGAATCTAATTCTCTGTTTTATTGTTTCATTTTGAACAAAGAAAATGTTTCTTTCTTCTCCCCCACCTTTCTTTACTCTGTAACATTTATCAGAAATCCAACAAGTTAAAAAATGTGAAAGAAATATTTACCTCTTGCTTCCCATGCTACAGCTGCTGCCTCAAGCAGAACATACATTTCCCCTGATACCTGATCCAGAGCCCATTGAAATCAGTGTAGAAACTTCTGTTGACTCCAGTAGGTTTGGGATCAAGCCCATTATCCCTATGTTCAACATTTCTTTTGAATAACATTACATTCTCTGTATGGAAAACAAAACAATCCATATATATATATATATATATGTGTGTGTGTGTGTGTAACAGACTGCCAATGTGGGCTCACCAGATTGGCTTGAGATACTTGCCCTGGGCTAGAACCAGTGCCGGTGAACTAAGATCGACCCCAAGGGTGTAGCAGGGGAGCCCTGCCCTGTGGTAAAGGAGAAGGCAATCGAAAGAAGGGATTTTCAATCCCCTCATTCGCAGAGAAGGGGGGCCTCATTCACTTGGCCGGACTTGGGGGCCAGCCACCCTGAGCCCTGGTTGGCCAGTTTGCAAGCCAGGGGGGGACTGCCGGAGGGGATAAAAGCAGCAGCTGACCTGGCATGCGGGGGCTGCTGACAGTGACTCTGGGGAACAATGCAGGAGGCCTAAGAAGAGCTGAGGTGAGCTGACCCACGAGAGGGAGCAGAGAGAGCCCTCTGAAGAGCCTTGAAGGCCCTGGGAGAAGAAGGCAGCGGCAGTCAGCCGTGCCTCCAGCCCTGCAGCAGAGAGGGAGCTGTGGCCAGGGCTTAGGGCAGAGAGCTGGTGCCCCAAGGCCCATCGCAGTGTGCTGGACGTGCCAGGCGTCCTGGAGGCTAGGGCTGGCAGTCAGCCCCCCACTTCACTGCGGAGAAGAAGCAGTGGACAGGAGCGCAGGCAGCATCCTTATCTGGAGCAGGGAGATGTGCCAGTGAGTTGAGGAAACCCCTTACTTCCCCTGGGGAAGCAGGACAGCAGCAGGCAAGGCATTGGGATCCTGAGGAGCAGCAGAGTGCCAGGACAAGGGTCCCTGGGAGCTCGGGGCACAGGCCGGCCCTCAGAGGGAGCCGCAAGGCTCCAGTCATCTGGAGCAGGGGGTTAGGGCAAGGGGTTTAGAGCAACGACCCCTGGGAGCTGCCTGTGCTGCTGACCCTCTGCCACTGACTGCCCCCGAGGGGGACTCAGTCCTGTCCCTTATTCTGCAACTGATTGTCATCAGATGGAGTCCCTGAGCTTTGTGCTTGGGTCATGCTGATTGCTGCAGGAGTCTACTCTGTTGCTTGTTGCTCACCTTTTTGGTTGCCACAGAGGGTCACCCTTCAGCCTCTTTGTGGGGTTGGGGTTTGATACAATTTGGATTGTTGCAGACCAGAAGAGCTTACACTGTTGCAGTCTGTCACTTATTGGGAAGCCTGTTGGAGCTGCTGGGAGTGACCAACTTGCTTACTTGTGGCAGCATCTCAGCAGTGGCTGAAAGTTGCCAGTTACCCTGCCTGTGGTTCTTGAGTCAAGGGTTGACTAATGCATTCTGGTTTGTTTTGTGATTCTGGTTATGCCATTTAAGTTCACTTGTAAGTAACCTTTCCTATTATTCTTGTTTTGTAAATAAAGTGTAAATAGTTAAATCAGTTAAGTGTTAGATCTTCTTGGGACCACAGGCTGCTCTATGGGGAGCAGGGGCCGGCCGGAAAGTAAAGTGGTGCTGGCCAGAAGCCCTGCCCCGCTCTCACCACACCATCCCTGATATTGGGCAGGGGTGAAAACTATTGGGCTGCCACCCAGGTTACATAAGGTTTAAAGGCGAGATCATGTTTTTAAATAATAGACAAGGAGATATTTGTGCAAAGTGTATGCAGTTTTCATTTTGTTTGCATACCTCGGACTCTACCTTAAAGAAATCTTTAAGCTATAAAGGTTTGGCATAAACCCAGAATTTTATAAGGTGGCAGACAGCCCATCCTTAAGTACGTACTGTCAAGCTTGGTTTGTCTGGGTGAAGGTAATACAAATGCAGATAGGTTGTGTTTGTGTGTGTGCACATGCTCTCATATTTCATATATGTCAAAGAATTTTACTAAGCAATTATTAGCAAATGAAGATGTGCTTTTTTTATTGCCAGTGGTATTCATCCTAGAGTGATGGGATCTGTCATACAGGGAAGTTTTTTTTGAATAGTGTTATGGGATTTTTGACCTCCTCCCTCCCCCCAAGCATCATAGTCAGTAAAAAGCAGAAGGAACCTTTATTTAACATGTCTTTCATATTATGACATCACTAGCCTATTATTGCGTACAAGTCCAACTGCTGGTTTGGCACTTGAATTGGTGATTCTGGCATGACAGCAAAATGTTACAGATTGAACCAATCTGCCATTATACACAGATCTACTACAAACATAGCTGAATCTGTTTTTCCTTGGACATTAGGGAGCATTATGCACTTGACTGCATAATTAGCATGAGTTTGGGGGTTTTTTTCCATTGACTACTCGTCAGTTATGAACTACTGTCTTTTCACTGTTTCATCTAAAGTGAATGACTATATTAGAAATCCAACCCATATACACAGTTTCTATTGTATTTTAACCTCTGTAACATGAGCTGCCTATAAAAGTGTTTTTTCATTTGGTAAAAACAAATTGTCCTGAGACATTATATGGCAAGTTTCAGGCTGGAGAGAACCTTCATGGGAATTCTGGAGCCTGTGTACAAGGTTTATTGGTTTGTTACCTAAACTGTTCTTAACACTATTGCTATAAATTTTTCCTTAATACCTTGCAAATGTCATGATATTTAAATATTTTCTATACTTCTAAATGGATTGTCAGTGGTGTTTTGGATGCATTACCAGTACCTGCTGACATTTCCACAGCTTCAAGGTTCCTGGCTACAGGGCCTTGTTTTTCGCTCAGGGTCAAACTGATTGCAAAATTTCAGGTCAGGGAGTATTTTTTTTTTTCTTGTGGAGATTGCCACAAACAATGTGGGGGAGGGGAGGTTGCCTTCATTTGTTGTGTGGGACTTGGCCCTTTTCTTTGGATTTTTTGATCATATATTAACCAACTGCTTCCCTTGTCATTGCAGTGGCAGGACACTGACATCATCCTTGTCTCCCTGTGGCATGCTATAGGACAGGGATGGGCAATTATTTCAGGCAGAGGGCTGCTTACCCAGTTTTGGCAGGCTTTTGAGGGCCACGTGGATAGCCCCACCCCTTGACAGGTGCCCCGTCCCCTGGTCACCATCTTGGGACCAATGTCCCAATGTCTTTGGTCCCAAGACATTGGGACATTGGTCCCATGTCCCAGGGTCAGCACCGGTGGGGCCCAAAGTGGGGCAGAGGCTGGCAGGGGTCAGTGGAGCTGGGCTGGGCTGCACCAGCAGGGAGAGGGGGGAGCTGGCCCAGGTCCATAGAACCCCTGCCAGCTGGGACCCTGTGCTCCTGCCATCCTGCTCTGGGCCCCACTGGCACTGGCCCTGGGACATCAGTGTGGGCCCTGTGCTCCTGCTGGCTCCCTGCCCACTCACTCCCAGTGCCCCCCAGCCCACGGTACAGGTGAGGGGCAGCACACAGCCCTGACCCCCTGCTCTCCAGCAGGAAAGAAGCTGGTGCTGAGTGAGGGGAAAAGCGGCCCCTCGCCCACCCTGTGGCTGGTGCTCCCTGCTGCAGCTGCTCGCAGCCCACACAGGGCTGTTCTGAGCAGGCACAGGCAGCCCCACACCGGCTGCAAGCAGCTGCAGCCTGGGGCCCCCGGCACCGGGGGGGGGGGGTGCACTCAGCACCAGCTTGTAACCCAGTTCTGCTGCCAGCTTGGGCTCTGTGCCAGCTCCGGGCTCGCCCATCAGGGCTGTGTGTGGGGCCCCCCCGCGTGCTGCGCCAGGCAGTGTTGGCTGCTGCTGCCCAACTGGAGCTCGCATGCTGAGCAGCACAGAGGTGGCGGTGGCAAACACTGCCTGGTGTGGCAAGCGGGGGGCCACAGCTGCTGTCGCCAGGTGTAGCCCCGACAGGCAAGCCCGGAGCTGCGTGGGGCCCAGGCTGGTAGTGGGGATGGGTTACAAGGTGGTGGTGAGCTTTGAGGGGGGGAAGCTGCCCCTCCCCCACCCTGTGCCCAGTGCCCCGTGCTGCAGCCACTTGCAGCCTGCCTGGGACTACCTGTGCCTGCTCCAGACAGCCCCATGCGGGCTGCAAGTGGCTACAGCAAGGAGTGCCGGCCATGGGGTGGGGAAGGGCCTCTTTCATCCATGGTGGGAAGGAGCAGGGAAGGAGCCCGGGGAAAAGTGGCTTCTCTCCTGCCCCATAGCCGGTGCTCCCTGCTGCAGTCACTCGCAGCCCA